GTGAAAATCAGTGAAGATCTGTGAAAATCTGTGAAAATCAGTGAAAATCCAGTGCCCAGGGTTTGCCTCAGCTCAGCAAGGAAAGCTCAGAGCCCACGGGAGCTTTGTGTAGTTCTTTAATAATAACATCAAGGCCAGCAATCAAGAGTAATGACTGGATTTACCAAAGGACACATTTAACATGCAACACACAGAGGGGTGAAACATCCCTGCACAGCACCGAGCTGACAACACCAACACCAAACCAGCCCCCCTGCCCCTCAAACCTTCCCAAAATCACCCCCAAACCTGCCAGAGCCCCCAAAAGCAGCAGGCACAGGAGGTGCCTCCGCACCCCAGGCGGCAGAGAGAGCACCCAGGTGGCCACAGAGCTCGTGTGGGCATGGAAAATAAAATAAAATAAAGCAAAAAAAGAAAGCAGAAGCTGAAGCTCAGGCCCTTGGAGGCTGCCAGGTCCTGGCAGGGCTGGGAGGGAAGGGGAGAAAAGGCATTTTTGGGGGGGACATTTCACCCAGGGCTGGGCAGGGGGAGGTCACACAGGGGACAGAGGGCACCCCAGGGGTGCTCCAGCTCTTCGACCTCATTTACATGGCATTAATTCATTAATTGGCTGGGGCAGCTGGCTGGGAGCCAGGAGCAAGCAAGGTTCACTGCCAGCCTTCCAGGGAGCCCCGAAATTCATCTTTGGGCTCCAGCACGGAGGGAGTGGGGCTCTGAAAGGCACCTGAGGGGATTTTGGGAGCCAGATTTAGGCTGGTCCTAAATCACAGAGCCCCAGAATGGCTTGGGTTGGGTTGGGTTGGGTTGGGTTGGGTTGGGTTGGGTTGGGCTGGGAGGGGGCTTAAATCCCAGCCAGTGCCACACCAGGGACACTTGTCACTGTCCCAGGGGTGCAGCTGCTCTGGGAATTCCATCCCAGCCCCTCCCACCCTCACAGGGGAGAATTCCTCCCTAAATTCAAACCAGGGATAAAATTCACCCCCAGACAGGCTCTGCTTTTTTTGTGGGAACATCACCAAAGCCCATCCTGGGCGGAATTTTATTCAGCCTGATCCTAGTCAAAATGGGCTGGAGCTGCCCCAGTTAATGCCATGTAAAACAGGTGCTCGTCACTACAGGAAATATTTGTACATTTATAAAATAAAAAAAAAAATTAAAATAAAATAAAAAAAAAAGCAATACAACCATAAAGAAAAAAAAATACAACAAGCACAGCTTGATACGATAACATGCCATGAAATGTCATTGGCTTTATAATAATTTACTACAACTTGAAAAATGTTCTTTTATCCACAAGGGATAGGAAATGCTTCCATCTAACATATGGTAAGCATGCAGCAACAATATGTACAACAAAAAATTTGGAGCTTTTTTTTTAGTTTTAAGCTGGATGATTACAAAGGGAGCATTTGAAAATTCTGATTTTATTTTTTTTTTTCCTAGCCTGATCTAGGCTTTATTTTGCTTCTTTAAATCTGCAGGGTTTGGGGTTTTTTCCCTTAGTTTGGGGAGAATGAGAATTTCTGTGTACATCTGCAAAAACGTCGTGGACAATACACTGCTTTTATTTTTTCCCCCAGCAGGTTTATTGCTAATTAGCCAATTAACCAACTTCTTGGCTAACTGACACCTGAAAAAATAAAATTCTCAATGCTGTCTTGTGGAAAATCCATTTCCTCCCCAAAGGTTTCTGAGGATCTGCTGGGACACTGTGTTACACCGAGCCAGGTCCCACACCTTCCGTGGAAACAAACCACAGCACAGCAAACCAGACCAAAGCAGACCAATCCTAACCAAACCAAACCAAAGTAAACCAGACCAAAGCAGACCAAACCAGACCAAACCAGACCAAACCAGACCAAAGTAAACCAAACCAAATCACACCAAAGCAAAGCCGACCAAACCAGACCAAACCAAACCCAACCAAATCAGAAAAAATCAAACCAAACCAAACCCAACCCAACTCAACCAAAGGAAACCAGACCAAATCACACCAAACCAAACCAAACCAAACTCAACACCAAACCAAAGCAGACCAAACGAGACCAAACTTGACCAAAGCAGACCAAAGCAGATCAGACCAAACCCAACCAAATCAGAAAAAATCAAACCAAACGAAACCAAACCCAACTCAACCAAAGCAAACCAGACCAAATCACACCAAACCAAACCAAACCAAACTCAACCAAATCAGACCCAACCAAACCAAACCAAATCACACCAAACCAAACTGAACCAACCAAACCAGACCATACCAGACCCAACCAGACCAAACCAAATCAACTCAACCAAACCAAACCAACCAAACCAAACCCAACAAAACGAAACCAGACCAGACCAAACCAGACCAAACTAAACCCAACCAAACCAACCAGACCAAACCAGACCAACCAAACCAAAGCAAACAAAACCAACCCAACCCAACCCAACCCAACCCAACCAAAGCAGACCAGACCAAACCAAACCAAACCAAACCAAACCAAACCAAACCAAACTCAACCAAACCAAACCAAGACCAACCAAACCAAACCAAACCAAACCAAACCAAACCAAGCCAGACCAAGCCAAGCCACAGCCAGGAGCTCTGTGCCTGACCAGATCCCGTCCATCCACGAGGGAGCCCAGCCCAGCTCCAGGGGGGTTCCAGCTGCCCCTGCCCCCGTGGGAGCAGCTGGGGTGGGGGGCAGCAGGGGGTGCTGGGGCCAGGGGCTGCTCCGTGCTGCCTGCAGACAGAACAGGGGACAAGGGGACAAAGGGACAAGGGGACAGAGGGAGCCCAGCCCTGGCTGCTGCAGACAGAACGGGGGGATCAGCCCAGCCCCAGCTCCTCAGGACCTCAGGGTTTGTCCCACCAGGGCAGAGGCACGGAGGGACCCAGAGCCTCTGCCGGGGGTCCCCTGCTCTCCTCGCCCAAAGGGGCCAGGGCAGGTCTCCTCTCAGTCTCTTTCCTCCATTCCCTTTCCTCCTTGAGAATTTTTTTTCCTTTTTTTTTCCCCCCTTTGTTTTGCTAGAAAAGCTAGAACCGATATTTCCAAAAGCAGCACTCAGCAAAGCATTTCTGTATCTGGTAAAAAAAACAACTCCACAATGAGATGAGAACCCTTTGCTGCTGACAGAAGTGCAGCTACAGAGGTGGATTTCTCTCCTGGGAGATTCCCAGAGAGTTTTGTGAGAACTGGAGGGGCTCTGGGGATCTCCCTGGCTCTGGCCCCGGGCTGCAGGAGGCAGGGGATGCTCTGGGGGGTGCTGGGGGTCCCCTGAAGGTGAGGAGGAAGCAGGAGAAATGCAGCCAGTGCATTTCTTGGCAGGCTGGCTCCCACCTGGCCTGGCCCAGGGGGGTTTGCCTCGGTCCACGCTGCTGACAGGAGGGAGGGATGCTGCTGAGAGCTGGCACGGGTGAGTGAGCACTGTGGCTCTTCACTCAGAGCTGGGGAGGCAGCTGCTACTTGGTTAGGAAAGGAAAACAAAACAAAAAAAATCCAAAAAAACCCCAAGAACCCCAAAACAAAACAAATCCCCAAAAAACCCAAAACAAAACAAACCAAACCCCAAAAAAAACAAAACAAAACCAACCAAAAAAATCCCCCCAAAAAATCCACCTGGAAGCATTTTTAAGGCGAAAGAATTCAATTTACAGACAGGCAGGGAGGCATCAGTGGCAACCTTTCCAAGCTGACAGCAACAAGGAGCCCGAGCAGGGTGGATTTGGGGGACCCCAGACCCCCAAACCCTCTGGTTTGCACTCGGAGCCTTTCCCTCCGGGCTGGGGAGCAGCACTGCCCGGCGCTGCAGCACGGACAGACGGACAGACGGACAGAGCTGCCCGGCACAGCCCCCCCTGCTGCCCACGGCTGTGCCACCCTCGGCGCTTCGGGGCTCTGGTGCCCCCCGGGCTGGCCCAGGGGTGGGGTTTGGGGTGTCCCCGCTCTCCGAGTTCCTGATCGCACCCAGCGCCCCCCTCCTCCCTGGGAGGGAAGGGGGCCTGGCACCCCCTGTGCCCCCCGAGGGGCTCCTGTGCCACTGCCCCGGCAGCGGGGCTGTGCCTGGCCCAGGTGCAGGTGAGCCAGGTGTGCCAGGTGTGCCAGGGGTGTGTCCAGGTGTGTGTCCAGGTGAGACAGGTGAGTCCAGGTGAGTTTTGTGTGTCCAGGTGTGCCAGGTGAGTTTGGTGTGCCAGGGGTACACACAGGTGTGTCCAGATGTCCAGGTGTGCCCAGGTGTGCCCGGTGCCTGGCTGGGGTTCTGCACTCCTGACCGTCCACCTGGCCAGCCCCAGGTGTGGCCAGGAGTGTCCAGGTGAGCCAGGTGCCCAGGTATGCCAGGTGAGCCAGGTGCCCAGATGTTCCCAGGTGAGCCAGGAGTTCAGATGTTTCCAGGTGAGCCAGGTGCCCAGGTGTGGCCAGGAGTGTTCAGGTGTGCCAGGTGCCCAGATGTTCCCAGGTGTGCCAGGTGCTCAGATGTTCCCAGATGTTCCCAGGTGTGCCCAGGTGTGCCAGGCAGTTGGCCAGGGTCCCGCACTGCTGGCAGCCCTGCCCTGCCCTGCCCTGCCGTGCCGTGCTGTGCCTGGGGCTGTCCCTGGCACGGAGCCCGCTGTGCCACCCGTGCCCTTCCTGCAGAGCGTCCCCGCGGTGGCACAGGGCACACAGGGGGCACACAGCTGGCACAGGGGGCACACAGCTGGCACAGGGGGCACACAGCTGGCACACAGCTGGCACAGGGCACACAGCTGGCACACAGCTGGCACACCCTCAGCCGGAGCTCCCCGCGGCTCCCAGAGTTCGTGGCACTGATGCTCGGGGGGGACGAGAGAGGGGAGAAGGTTCCAGAAGGGGCCGGGGGGAGCTGCTGTCACCCCGGGCCGGGCTGGGGTCCCCCAGCCGGGGGGGGGTC